CCCCCCCTCTTCCCAATGTTCCATACCCCATACTAAACCAACTCAATTTTAGCACGTTCCCTGTGGCGTGACCACTATGTGGTCACGCTCCTATGTTAAACCATCATAGGTACAAAAAATGAGCCGCAGGGAACATGTTAAACTTCGCCATTTTAAGAAGGTGGCGTGCTATCTATCAAACTACTTTGGCGTTGGTATCAGTAATTTGTTCCGAACAATGCTGAGGTTTCGGTACTCACTCTGCTGGATCAGCCTGAAGATGAGATTGTTCTCCTCCTGGGTCTCGAACGAGGGCAAGTCCATGCAGTACTCGCGGCACAAGTTTCGCGCGTCGAGCCAGTCGTACTTAATGTTGCGGAACTGGGGGACGTGCCCGGTGTAGAAGTAGTTGTGTCCATTGAAGAAGAACTCCTTTGGTCCTGCGAGGAGACAGAGAGCACAGCGTGTTACTCGAGGCGACACATGCAGGAGGGGAGGGTGCCCATGGCACCGCACTTATCTTGGCGATGATAACACTTCACCACATTCCGGGCTGTGGGCGGGTTGCCTACTTGCTCGGCACCATAGTCCCACGGCAGACAAACCCGCCCGCACGCCCGCATGTGATGACCGCTAAAGAAAGTATGGGGCCTATGGGACACCCTCCCTGTAACCATCACCCCAGTCAATGACTAGTCGAAATGGCAGCTGGCACAAAAAAAAGGACTGAGAAAAAAAATGAGATTGTGATGCTGAGGTGATGCGGTTCAGACAGCACTTCGTTTGGGCCAGCAGTATACCCCAGGTCTAATTACGAGGACGAGAGAAGAACGAGAGCGTTCAACTCTTGTTGAGGTGGGGCGGGGTGGGTCTGCTGGCCACGGATCGGACAGACGGACGGGGCGAAGGCAGGTGGAGGTGGGGAGTCATAAAGGCGTCACGGGGAATGAAAAGGTCACAGGCGGCGGCGTGGTTTCAAAACGGTGCAGTGTAGCAGCAGCGCGGGGTGAGAGACGAGATTTTGAAATATGCGAAGAGGGGGGACTTTGTGTCTTTCCATTCTTTCGTTCTCCTTTCTTCTCCGCGCGCCGCTCTTTTCACTCTGCTTTTCACTCGCCGACGACGCGGCGCGCCGCACGCTAAAGACGCGCGTACTTCCGCCTCCACCCGCCTCTTCTCTTTCTCTCTCTCGCGAGCAGGGTGGAGGCAGAGGGGTGGCTTTCTTCTTCGGGTGCAGCCAGGACTCTCGTCCCGGGGGCCGCGGCTCATCTGCTTCGCCGGCTGCGGAGGGAGGGGGAGGCCCACGACGTCGACGACACTCTAACGAATGAGCGTCTGCCTTTTATTAATGCGTGGTGTGCCGGGCCGTGCGGCGGCCATCGGTAGCCTTCCCTGTATGGCGCCACGGGGCCGCGGCGGGCCGCGCCGCGCGGGGGGATGCGGGGGGTCGAGGCCGAGAGTCGCTCTTTGGCGGCAGGCCAGCGGCGGCCACAGGCTAGAGGAGGCAGAGGAGGAGGAGGAGGAGGCGGGCCGGGCCCAGCGGTGTGCGAGTGAGGCACGCACTTGCAGCCCTAGGAGCAACCCCTCCCCGGGACTTCGCTGGCCGCACCCAAACGAAGGTCAAATACTTTAGGCGTTCTCAGACAGAATGCCAAAACTCGGTGATCCGAATGGGGCAAAAATTGTCATTTTCTGACCAAAACGTAGCAATCAAAAGGAACGCAGAAATTGAGCCACCGTCTGAAAGAATTATTGCTTCCTTGGGATAGAGCCAATAAGATTTGGCATTCAACAGAATGAGTGGTGAACCCCTGAATCTCTCGCCCCTGACTGTGCTTACACACCGCGAAATTAATTCGAATTCCCTTTCGGCCACAACACGACACACGACCCAAACAAACAAACAAAAAACGCCCCAAAGTTTTTATCGAGTTCCACCCCACCGGAGGCGCCGCGCGCCGAACGATCTGCGAAACACAATTAAAGGTTTTTCCCATGGGAAGTGTTACGCCCTGCACTCGAGCGCACGTGCGCTGCCGGGGCGAGCCTGCTGCGCCGTGCCGCGCCCGCGCTGCTCGCTGGCTCACCGGCCGGCCCGCCCGGCCCGCTGGCCTCCCTACGATGGACTGCGCATTGTCCTGCAAGGTCCTCCGCTGCCCGGCCCGGGCCCGGGCCAGGGTCCTTGTGGGCCGACTGCAGGCCCTTTGCTACGGACCTTGAGCGCGTCCCCGCCGTCCCTCGAGGTCCCTCTCGCGCGGCATAACGAGCTTCGGATGGCGCCAACGGGGAGAAGGCTTTTCTAGCAAAATGGTTAATCCCCCGGCTCAGTCGCGCACCGAGCCGTCGAGCAAAACGGGAGCGAACCGCGAAAAAAAGAAAGGGCGAACCGCAAACCGCAAAGTCACTCGGTGACGCGGGCAGACGCCTCGACAAACCGCGAACCGCAGGTGAACCTTAAGCGGGTCGGTCGAGCATGGCACGCGGCACGGCTAGGCCGCACAGAGCCCCTGCGAGTCCAGAGGTAGGCCACCGGCCTCGCGGGCGAGCGCGTCGGCGGCCTACCGCCCACTCCTCACTCACACCCTGCCCCGCCTCCTCGCCGCAGCCCGCACCGGCTCCGGCTCAGCCTTGTTTCCTCTCCGTAATATGAGAATGCAGATTCTTCTCCAGCGGCAGGTGTCCTGCTCGAGCCAGGAGGCGGGAGGAGCGCGGCGTGGCGCTGCGGGGGCTCGTTCAATTTAGCGCCGTCTCCTCCAGCAGAAGCTTCCAGCTCCAGGCTCCAGCGAGCGACGACCTCGGCGGGAGGTACAGTACTGCACCTAACCACATGCCAAGGTCGCCGTCGTCCCGCCCCGCCCCGGGATGCGACGGGCCTTACGACCTGGCCTTCCCGCCTCGTGGCGGGGCGTGGCGGGGCGTGGTGGGGCGTGGCGGGGCGTGGCGGGGCGTGGCGGGGCGTGGGACGGGTCCTGAGGTGTGAGCGTCGAGCCGGCCGGCTGGGTGCGTGCGACGAGGTGGGGCGGGGAGCGGGGGCCACCTGCAATACCCTCTCGCAGAGACACTGGAGCAGTAGGGCACAGCGGCCGCTGGAGGGGGATCGACTTCCTACTGATCGAAACTCGAGAGCCTCCTCAGTAAGGTGATTTGCTCCGCAACTAGTACGGCGAGATGCCATCGCCCTCTCGAAATAAGCCTCTTCGCGCGGCTGCCTTGCGCGGCAAAAGAGGTCGACGTTGCGTCTGCGTTCCTTGTTCTCACGTTTCCGAACGACAAACATTTTACCGTCGCATCTTTACGCCCAGCACATAGAACCAACGCAAGTGCAAACACAAAATTCTATGTGTTGAGCGCAAAGAGGTGGTGCTGTGTGTGGGTAAGGAAAGCGACCTGCGAGGCGTCAGGGCTCAGCCGACCGCGGGGCGTCTTCTTGAGCACACAGAGCGACGGTTACAAAACCTTTCTTTCACCCCGCTTTTCCGTCGGTTCGATACTCACTGTTGGCGCACTTCTGCGGGACGGGTAGCGACAGGAAGCGGCCGGGCCTGTTCGACTTGGGCCGGATTTCCTTGATGGCGGGGTTGGCGATGACGGTGACCGTCCACGCGGCCAGCAGCGCCACGAGGGCCCACTTCGTTGCCCACAGCATCTGCGATGGAGAGGAAAGAATCTGGTATCAATTGGGGTTGGTTGTGTCAGATGAGTGCAGATAAGAATTCGATCGCCCAGAGAGTACCTCCGTTTTGCTCAGATTCATTCGGCAAATTACGGAAGCTCCGGGGCGCCTGTGAGACTCGGGGTAGGCCACCCCGCGGCACACGTATGCACTGCAGGCAAGATGTTGCCTACCCATCAGGCGCTATAGGGGAGCCTCCAGAGCAGGGGTCTCAGACACACGGCCCGCGGGCCGCAAGGGCCGCACTGGAGAGAGATGGGGCTATGTGATCGCAGTGAGTGCGAGTGAGAGGTCCGACTCGTGCGGCCCACGTGACGTCACAGTCTGAGATCCCTGCTCCAGAGGCTGAACTTCGCAAGTTCGTATTATAACTATAAAAATGTCTTCAAGTGCCGTAGTGTATGTGCATTTTTGGAGAAATGCTTGAAGTTATACGAACTTGGGTGATGCTGGCTCTACGCTGCGCGAAAACCACAGGTCTATGGAGACCTGCGGTCTCAAATAAGTGAAGCGAAGTGAGAAACGCTTAGACAATCTCGACCAGGCCAGGTTGAGTCTATAGAATTTCCTTATACCTCTTGGTTGATTCATCACCCCTCCTCATTAATTATTTCTCTCCTCCTCCTCCGTACTCTGCCCCTGTATTGCACCTGTTGCGGCCACCCCGCCTTGCCCTGCCCCGCCCCGCCCCGTGCGGTCGGCGAACAATCGCATGGATGCTGCGCGATGCTGCGCGATGCACGGCGGCAAAACGATTCATCAAGCCGAGGCCCGGCCCGGCTCGGCCGGCAGCCGCATCAGGCTGCTGCTCCCCGCTGCCTTTGATTGCGCGGTCCGGGTCCAGGGCGTTACTTAACAAGGCGGCCGCCCGGGCCCCGGGCCGACCCGGCCGAGGCACGAGGGTGGTGCGGTGCATCGAGCGGCAGCGAGCGGGGCGGCAACACGTTCGTTGTGCCAGTTCTGTCCGGACGCTGCTCGTTCCCATGGCCCGCCCCGCCCGGTCCCGCCCCGTCGAGGACCGCCAGCCCGGCACCACATCGCCAAACGCGGCGCCAACCGGTCAACCGACTGCCCCTTGTTCCGGGTTTCGCTCTGGTTCGAAAGAGATGGCGTTCGGTCCGCTAGGGGCGAGGCGGGTTTGGGCGGGCGGGAGCGCCGTTCAGCGGCCGGGTGCGAAAGAGTCATTTTGTAGCAGCTCCAGGAGGCGCGGATCACGCGCGGTTTCATTCTGAGGCATGTCAGAAAATGTTATTACTGGCTCCAATTTTGTTTTCTTTTTTTTTTTGCGACCCGCGGATGGCTCGCTCCGGCACACCTCGCCCCGCCCCTCCACGCCCCTTCACGCCCCTCCACGACCCTCCACGCCATGCCACACCGCGCCCAGCGGATGTCAAAGCGAGAGAGGAAACATTGGTGGCGCCCGCCCCGCGCGTCGCACGTTCGGTCCAGAGGCCGAAGCATTGTTACCGCACTCTCTCTGTCTTTCTCTTTCGCCTCTGTCTCTTTCTCTCGCCCGCTTACTCTCTCGCTCTCGTTTCTTCCCACCCTGTGCTCCCCTCGCTCTGCCACAAACAACATGACATGGCGTTACCGGACCAATTTCGCTGTACGCGTTACTCAATGCGATCGCAAAGGAATTGCGCCTCTTTTCGCCCATAGAGAGCGACGGAGGTGGGAAGCGACAAGAATACTCTTTCGACTGCAGACGCGACGCAAGCGCCAGCCTCATGCAAACAAACCACATAGGTAGTCATTTTTGTGAAAAGAAAGTCATGACTCTCATGGAATGTCCATGATCAACTCAGGCAATTTTGAGATTCATGTCTTTCTTTTCGCATGACTCTCACTCTGGAAACCCAAGTGTGTATTTGAATGCAGTATCTCCTGCATACCTACATGTATGCAAGAGGTCCTGTGTACTTGGCAAGTATGCAGGAGGTAGTGTGTACTTGCTCAAGTATGCAGGAGGTAGTGTGTACTTGGTCAAGTATGCAGGAGGTAGTGTGTACTTGGTCAAGTACACACTAAAACCTCCATACATTTATGCAGGAGATTTAGTGTGTACTTGACTAAGAACTGCATACTGGACGAAGTACACACACTACCTCCTGCATACTTGACAAGTACACAAGACCTGCTCCTTCATACTTGTAGGTATGCTGGAGATACTGCATTCAAGTATACACACTTGGGTTTCCAGAGCAAACTTGACTAAGCTGCTCTATTCATATCAGAAAAAAATTAAAATAACTGACAAGTACGTTATTCAGACGTTCGTATCATGGCTCTCAAGTCTGTGAGCGTGCCCTGGTGCCTTGGTCCGTCCGTGGCCACGGGCTGCATTTCCGCTAGTGAGGTACTAAACGGTGCTGATGTCTTGCTTATGTTGCCCAACGCCGCCGGCCCGCTCGCCGCCGCGGCGCGCCGTGCAGCTGATGAGGTGGTAATTGGCTGCTTGCTACACGGGCTGCTGGAGCTGCTGGAGCTCGGCCGATCAGCTCAACAATGCTCAATAATTATCGGGGCCACCCACTCGGCCGCGGCCGAGCTTTCCACCGCGTCAGCGCCTTCTGCTGCTGCATGGTCTACCACTCCGTCAGCGCCTACTGCTGCATAGCCTTACACTGCGTCATCGCCTACCAGTGCGTCGTTGCCTGCTGCTGCACCGCCTTTTAACGTCGCTGCTACTAGCCGCCACAGGTTTACGGGCGAGCGGGTAACTTTTATCCCCTTTTACCCCGACGACTTTTGTTCGGGCTTTGCCTCTCGTGCCTTCGTGTCGGCTGCAATTAGTTCCCCGACACGTCTCCCATGTCTACCGAAAAAAAAGCGAGGGAAGAAAGGCCGTGAGACTAAAAGGCCTGGCCGCTACGATCTCTGCTTGAGAAGAGAGGTGGCAAAGTTGGTACAGCCCCAAAAACTTGAGTCCTTGGATCAAGTACAGTGCACTTCTCTTTGAAATAACGAATGAATCTGCAAGCCTGGGTACGCTGTTACTCCTGTGTTAGCCGCCGAGCCCGAGGCTCGGGAAGGACTCGGCAGGGGGCCACCTACCTCCACCTCTCACCTCATCGCATCGCATCCTGTCGAACAATACCAGAACACAGGTGCTATCTCCGCCACGCGCCGCCATCCGCGCGCGCGGTCTCCCTGACCCCAAACCATTACTGACCCCCTCCCCCCCGCTCCCACTCGCGGCGGTGACGCAGCCGGGTCAACAGAGGGTATGTTTACTAGAATGGCATGTGCCGGGGCGTCGTCGTCGCAGGGCTGGGCGTGGGTGAGCGACCGACGGGGCGACCGGCGCCGGCCGAGCGACCCAGCGAGCGACCCACCCGTCGTCGGCGCACGCCAACGACCTGGCAGCGTTTCTGACAGAGGAGGCGCAGCGCTCGTGCGCGGGTAATGGCAAGGGCGCTAGTGGTCGTAGGTCGCAGTCGCGCGAATGACTGTCATGACAAAGTCGCAGCATCAGCCTGAAGCTATGACGCGCGCTGACGGTCGGGATCGCGACCCACCCCTGCGCGCTCTGCTGCGGCCTGACCCAATTATGACTTATTTAAAACGAAAGGCGCGCAATCTTGAACGCTGCCGCCGACCAATTCATTGCAGTGGCTGCGGCGGACAGGCCTCGCGCTGCGCCTCGCGCCGCCGGCAGCGCCGCGGCACGACGGAGCGGTAATCGGGATTGCTCGGCTCTAATTAGAGCGCGCGGCTCTTAACCCATCGCGGACTTTTGACGGCGAACTGATTTCTTTTGCCTAATACAAAATATATTATCCCGATGTTTTTGTTTTTATCCCCGTGTTGTTGTACTTTGTGTTACAGAGGGCGATCCCAAACGTTCATGCTGCGTGAGATCTTCAGAGGTGAGATACCGTCGCAACAGGAAAGAGGGGCCGTTTGGAAACGGATGAGACCCGATAGCTGCCATCGAATTGGTCACCTTCGTCTCTTTGAATGCACTGACGGACACCACCGTCCATCCCTTGAACCTTGAGTAGAGACCGGTTGACACTGGATATAGCTACTTCAGAATCAGTAGTTGGCTGGTTCTGCGCCTGCGCACGTCATCTTCGCTGTGAACCTTAAATAGAAATTGGATGAGGACGGACCGCGTGTCTCAGAATCAACTTACTCAAAAAACGGGAACAACATTTTTCTAAAAGGGCAAAAGAGACCAACACTTGAGAATTAGATTTAAGACCCCTAAATGGTACGGAAGAAACCGAAAAGATATAATCGGATACAACTAGATACCGGGCACAAAGGCTCGCAGACCTGGGTCCCGGGCGCAGGTGCCTCGCCCCGCCCTCGCCCTCGCACGCGACGCCACGCGGCGAACACAGTGGGTCAAGGTGGAGCCGTACCGGCTACCTGCTGACGCGTACCTGGGAGTACCCGACCAGCAGCACCCGAGGGGCACCCGACGCCGTAAACTTCCTATCGGCGTCATCACCTCTGGCGGTGCACGCCACGCCAGCGCGCACTCGCCCAACCACCACGCTGTGCTGCTCTATCCTATCGGCTCCGTTTGGATATGGACGGGCGGCGCGCGCGCTCTTCGGTCACCCTGTCTGACTGGATGTTCACTTGTTTGGATCCGGCCATGCGGACTTGGTGGGGCGGGGCGGGGCAG